TTAGGGCTGAGTAGTGTGTTTGTCTTGGGTTCAGGGTTTACGGTTGCCGGGGGTTGGGGGTTCGGGTCTTGGTGCTCGGCTTTTATTATTATTATTATAATTATTATTATAATTATTATTGTTATTATTATTATTCTTATTTGTTATTGTTATTATTATTATTGTAGGGGTTTAAGTCGGAGCGCTTCGCCGTTTCGGGTTCGTCTCGGGGCGCCAGGTTCTGCAGCTCAGAGGGCTCTGCAGCTTAGAGGGTTTGGGGTTTAGGGCCCGGATGCAACAGTCTGGAAGTGCTGCTTCCCAGCTGATTGGCAGAGTCTGGGTTCAAAAAAAAGGGCCTTTAGGGTTCAGGGTATATAGGGTAGAGTCTTTCAGGATCTTAGAGGGTTTGGGTGGCTGGGTCCTTCAGGGGTTTTGAGGTTGAGCCAATGTTGTCGTCGCCCAAAAACCGTACACCCTGGCACCACTTGAGCTGTCCTCCATGCCACATCCTCGCCTGCCCGAGGTTCCGGCCCAAGACCGCTTCAGCAACCCAAGCGCCCCAACCCACCCAAAAAGCAACGAAGCCCTCACCTTCCCTAAACCCTAAACCCTCAATCCTCAACCCGAAACCCTACAGTAAGCCCTAAACACTAAACCCCTCACCTTCAACTGCTTGTCTGATCAGCACGCCTTCCGGACAGGGCCCGGGCAGTACGCCGTGCGGCGGCTTGCGACGGATCCGGTCCCCGACCGACCATCGCAGTCGCTGACGGCGGCCTGTTCAAAACAAGGATTCCTTCAAGGGGTTTCGTATTGCAGGGGCCTAAATAATTACCAATACTATTTTGGGGGTTCGTTATTGTAATGATAGTACAATGGGCCCGCAAACCCTATTCTACTGATTAAGGCCCCTATAGTAGGGTTTTAAAGGGCCCTGAAAGAGTGTATCAGGTTGGCATGAAGGGCCCAAGCGCTTACGGAAGGGAGGCGGCAGCCTGGATTTCGCATTAGGCTTCTAGTTCTTGGAGAACCTCGATATATTGAAAAGACAAAAAAAGCCGTACTACGGATTTGGACATTTTTACAGGAAGGCCTTGGCGGACAGGTGGTTTTTTAAGCCAAGGCAGACGGATAGTCTGCAGGTGTATATCAACAGCCGTGAGCAGAACTCAGAACAGCCGAAGAGCATTCTAGCAGAGTGGTGAAATCTTGAATGAGATGAAGTAAGGCTGCGTTTCCCTCTTCTCTCTGTCTTCGTCGGCTGAGAGCGCTCGTGATGTCCAGCTGGCACAAGTTTTCCTTCGATGGCAGAGCATAGTAACAGCACAGCCTAGCACAGCACAGATAATGCAGCGGCCCAATAGACTACAGTGCACACGAAATCCAAGATTAGGGCTGCTGGAGCCTTGTATAAATCCCTACACCCTATGTCAACCCCATACCCAATACCCTAAACCCTAAACCCTAAACCCTATGTCAACTTCAAAATAACATACCCAAAGCAAGAAGAGGAGCCGAAGCCGCCAAGGCCAGCTGCAGCTCTTTCAACTCCACCACATCGCGCTGCGACCCGGAGAACGTCCGAGAGCCGACCTTTGTTCCAGGCCCCAGCCTTCGAGGGGGGTCTACTGTAGGGCTCCTTTAAAAGTGACCAATATGGTTTGATTTTCATGTCAGGGCTCGAGTTTTAGGATTTTTGAGTGCTTCATGAGGGATTTCGGGGCTTTTGATTTTTTTTGTCGGGTTTTGGCTGGTGTTTCTGGCTGCAAAGAGCGGTAAACCTTAAACCCTAAACCCTAAACCCTAAGGCACCTGCTCGCCGCAGGCTCCAACTGGTTTGTGGCCTCCAGTATCCTGGACAATCCGGGCCCTGGACAGTCGAACCCACGGGATGCCGTGGACCGGAGACCGAAGACAGGCTCTCGGATGGTTGCAGCTTTTGATTCATCAGGGGTGCTGAAGGGGAATCCAGATGTTGGTAGTGTTCTCACAGCATGAAGTAATTGAGAAACATCAGCATGTCATGCAGTTGAGCAGTGAAATCAAGGCCGAGTGTTGGGTTTCTGATTGCAATGCATGAGTCGGAATTGGCCGGGCTTGCCATCCGCTGCCTTCCCTTGAAGGTTACAGCGGTTAGAGTGCCCTCAAAACTTCCCCTTCGTCTTAGCCCGGCGGGAGCAAACCACACCGAAACGCTAATCGAAACCCCCTCTACCCCGAACCCCTGCACCCAAAACCCGAAACCCGACGGGAGCCAGCACAGAACCCCCCCGAAGGTGGCGTCTACGAGCGCAGTCGGCCTGGAAAAGCGGACTGGGGTGCGGAGCGGGCCGTGCAGGCTTCACCACCAATAGGGTTATAATATACTACAGTTACTACAGTGTACTATAATAATATATTACTACAACTTGCTATATATATATATGCTATCATATACTCTAGCATACTATGGTATGGTATACCATAGCATGGTAGACTCTAGCCACAGTATGTTTTAAGCTTCGTGGGGGCGCCTCGGCTCCTGCTTCTTTCGATGGATGCAGGCGTACAGGGGACATGTTTGCAACCCAAAGGGTCCTAGGTACTGTGATGGGGGATACTTCCCCATATCATAGTAGTCCTTCCTAATACAGAAACCCTACATTCTACTATATAGCTACTTTGGACCCTTTGGGCAAGCTCCGTAGCGCGGAGTCTTCCAGGCCAGGGTAGTCCGGAGAAGGCTGAGTCGCTGAGCGTATTTTAATTTTTGTTATAGTACATTTCTAGCACGTGACGGTAGATTGTATTATGGTATCGTATGTTATAGGAGAATATGGTATGTTATAGTATATTTGGTTCTATATGGAGCGAGCCAAAGTTTTCAGTGGAACTGAATCTACGCCACTACCTGAAGCCCAAGCCTAACTTCGCCAGGCCATGAAGGAGGGAACGAGGCTACACACACAGCAGCGCCCTCGGTCAGATAGTATAGGGGCCTTAATAATTAGAATAGGGTTTGGGGGTTCCTTATTATAGTTATAGTAAAATGTATACCCCAAAACCCTATTATAATTGGTAAGGCCCCTATATTGCTTGAGGTTGTGTGTTCGGCGAAAGGCTCAGGTCATAACAGGTTGTTAAGAGGGAGAGCAAAATATTGCGACGCATGCGGCCTGGGCCGTCGTTGAAAATTCTGGCGATGCCCTGATCCAATCATCAGCCATCAACCCGAGGGCATAGCATTTGTGAGGGTTCTTAGCTGCCCAGACTCTCAAAATTTGGGTTTCGCCCAAAGTCCCTCGTTAGCGCAGAGGACGGAGCCGGCGATCAAGCCCCTTCGTGCATCTGGGCAGCTGAAAACTGGAGGGTCCGGTTAAATAGGCAGGGATATCCACACCTTAATTAATGGACATGATTCCTACTCCTGCCCTCTTCATCGCAGTAGCGGCAGTCCACAGGCCTGGTTATTGTAGCCCACTTCGACTCGCCAAGAGACAAACCCTAAACCCTCCCAGGAGAGTAGTTCGGGCTTTTCATGTTCGTTGTTGACCTGCTGGAATTGCCATCGAACCTCTAGATGTGGGTAGTGGGTCAAGCATTGTATAGGAGTTTAACTTTCACCTGCTAGGACACCCACAGGCCTTGGCTAAGCCTTTTATCCCTTTGAGGTGCAGGCTATGGGCAAAAAAGGTCTTGATAGTTCCGAAGGGCACGGGTGGTCCTGGGAACACCTCAGCACTTGCAGACCCTAAACCCTAAACCCTAAAACCCTAAAGCCCTAAACCCCCTACTGTAAACCCTAAAGCCCTAAACCCCCTAAACCCTAAAACCTAAAACCCTAAAGAAACCTAAACCCCCTAAACCCTAAACCCCCTAAACCCTAAACCCTTGCATGGCCAATGAGCTTTCCTTCCGACCCGAACCAACCTCGACTGCAGAGTGCGAGTTGCGAGAGTCCCAACCCTAGAGCCAACCAGGAACCCAAAGAACCTGCCTTTTTAGGGTTCCTGAGCATGATTTCTTTCTACAAGTCCTTAAAAAGGTAGGTTTTTCAGGGTCCAGGTAAATGATACCCTTAGAAGAGGGACCCTATAAAGGGACCCCCCCAATTTAGAGAGCTGTCCATATGTGTTTAAGAAGGACCCTAAAAGGGACCCGAGAAATACCCATATGTATGAGGAATACTAGATGATCTACTGCAGCTTGTCGCGGAAAGGATCGCTCCGACTGGAATTTCACTGGCGAGCCTGGGGACACGCCGGACCCATACAGTAGCTTCGCAGTGTTAATGCTAAGGCCTGCTTTTTCGGATGTTCAAGACGGCAAGGAATGCGTGAACCAAGGCTCTTGGAGGTGTCTCCGCTGGGGATTCCGCATGATGATTCTTTTTGCGAGATGCATCTGCCTTTTCTGCATATGTTGGTTCTCAACAGAAGAAGCAGGCGCCGCCTTCGTTCGAAAGTCGCGCCTTCGCACATGTCAAGCATCGCAGGCGAATCTCTTTGAATAACGGCTCAAGCATTTGCAACAGCGACGGACCTGCTGGTCGAAGAGTCTCCCTAGTTCCTTCTTCTGCGCGGACTTCCTGTGCAAAGCGGTTTCAGTTCATGGGCCCAAGGCTGCATGAGGATTTCATAGGGCTTCAGCGGTTCATGCCCCTGTGCAGGTCCGGAGTTGTCATCAGAAAGTCGTCTTGGAAATAGTCGGTGCTAGGGCCAGTGATCAGTTGGGGTGCAGCGTCCGCTAGAAGTTGGGCACAGCCCTTAGCAGCATCAAAGCATTCCCATGTGGCTGCTGGTCTCGGTGCTGGTTGTGGGTGGGCAGGCTCAAGACATCATCAGTGGCTGTTTCTGCGGAAGCACGCACGAGGTCCTGGCCTCCGCAGACGATTGCAGTGCGGCAGCTGCAACACTCGGATATACATATGGCGGGGTCTCATCGGGATCGAGCGGCACGCCAACGAAGTGCTGGACCAAAACTACTTCCTCAACCATGTGGTGGAACTCCAACATATTTTTCTTCGGTTGCAACTTCGGGACGCAGGTCGTCTGCAACTTGCTGACGACGACCACCACGGACACGAGCAGCACGGCCACGACCAGCACGGCCACGACCAGCACGGCCACGGTCACCACGGCCACGAGCACATCCTATACCGTCACCTCGAGCACCCAATCGACCAGCACGAACACGGTGACCACGGCGACCGTGACGACGGAGACCACTTCAACGTTAACGCAGACAACCGAGACAAGCAGCACGACAATAAGCACCACATTGAGTTCCACCTCCAGCAGCACAACTTGTACGGAGACAAGTAGCACCACTTCTGCCACAGCGACCACAAGCACCACGGAAACAAGTAGCACAACTTCGGCCACAGAGACCACAAGCACCTCTGAAACAAGTAGCAGCACTTCTGCCACAGAGACTACGAGCACCACGGAAACAAGAACCAGCAGCACTATCTCGTCGTCCAGCTCGACTGACACGACCTCCAGCTCCACCACTGCCAGTGTCACGACCTCCAGCTCTACGACGTCTACGACGACGTCGCTTTCATTGACCAGCACAAGCGTGAGCTCCACTGTAACCACCTCGGGCACCGTTACAACGACAACTTCCACTTCATCGACCAGTACCCTCACAAGCTCCAGCTCCACGGTCAGCACCACGGTCAGCACCACGGTCAGCACCACGGTCAGCACCACGGTCAGCACCACGGTCAGCACCTCCAGCTCTTGGACAAGTTCCAGTTCCAGCACCAGCAGCTCCAGCCGTACCAGCTCTTCTACCTCTACGAGCACGACCTCCATAAGCGACACTTCCTCGACCACTTCCTCCACGCACACTTCCACCACGGAGACCACGAGCACAACCTCCTCCTCCTCCTCCTCTTTCTCCTCCTCGTCCTCGTCTTCCTCTTCCTCCTCGTCCTCGTCCTCGTCCTCCTCGGTCTCTGCCACGACTACCTCAAGCATCACAGCACCCCTGCTGAGCTCAACTTCCACTGACATGAGTTCGTCTCCGAACACTGACGGCCCGAACGCTTCAGCAAACGGCTCCACAGGCGACGGACATGGAGGTGAGAACAGCTCCACGTCCTTGGATGGATCCAATGACAGTGGCTCTGGCAACGCCGATGCTACCAGTTCTACCACGACCCCGGCACCTTCCTGGTTGGCTTTCGCAGCTGCCGGCTGCTTCTCGCAGGATGTGCTGTCTCTACAGGGTTTGGCTGCTGGTGAGCAAGGGTGGGCCGTACAAGCTCCGGCCACGGTACTCTGGATACTGCTTTCCGTCTCTTTGCTTTGCCTGTTGCTGGCCGCAGTCTGCACAGCACCTGTGCCCCCTGCATTCGAAGCCCTGCGCCGCGCTGCACCGCCGCGGCGACGCAGGACGTGTGATGGAGAGCCGTTCCATCGCGGCGTGGTGCTGCGGTGCATCCTCTTGGTACGCTCTGACGGTGCCGGGCTGTGCATGGCATCCCTTGCAGTGCTCGAGGAGGGACGCCGGGCCTCGGTGGCTGTTCGCGGCACCTGGGCCGAAGCACGGGATGAAGCGGCGTTGGCTGCCAACGTCTACGGCCAGGCTGTCTATGCCATGGAGTCCTTCCTGAGTGATGCTGCTGGAATCTGGGGAAGGTTCCAAATGCTTTGGCCAGCCATGCAGCCATGGAAGGGGGTGTTGTACTTCAGCTTCTTCTCGTCACATTTGGAGAGAGCTGCTCGCCTTCTTCTGCGCCTTGTTCTCGCAGCGACATTTGGGGCACTGCTGCGCCAGGCCATTTTCGGAGCTTTCGCACGGTCGGCAACACACCAGCTTTGCCGGGCGCGTGGAGGGGACGACACGCTGGCGCTCTCCGTGTCGCTGCTGTGCCATGCTATGGGGATCCTTTGCTGTGCGCCTTTGTCGATGGCTCCATTGGCTACGAAGCCCCGATGTGCTTGGCTCCGTTGGTCCTTGCTCGTTCTCGGCAACCTGGCCTCACTGTTGATCATCGTCCTCTTCCTGGCGAATTCCAGCGATGCAGATGGCATGTGGTGGCTGATCTGTCTCATCGGGATCCTCACGCAAGAGTTCTTGCTCCTTCCGCTTCTCACGGCCTTTGGTCTCGCGACTTTAGCCACGCTCCTTGGCCCTTAAAAGTAGGGGCCCTATACCCTTATACTATGTTACTATGAATCCCTATATGGTATATGAACCCTAAAACCTTTTAGGGTTCATATACCATCCTTAAGGCTGCTCCTTCGCCGACACGCCGACCTTGCGGAAAACTTGCGGGACTGCTCCGCCCAGGCCTTGGCGCCCTTCCTGGAGCGGGAGAAGTCCAAGGATTCTCTGAGTCAGAACCTGGCCCCCAAAGAACCTACCTTTTTAAGGGTTCCTTCTTATGATTTTTTTATATTAGGGTTCCTCATTATGATGTCTTTTAATTTTTCGTTGTATAAGTCCTTAAAACGGTAGGTTATTTGGGGTCAAGGAAACGGATCAGCATTGGCTCCGAGCCTTCGGTGGTCATGGAGGACGAAGGGCGATTCCATGAGGCTCCTTCCTTGATGCGGAACCTTAGCCAGGAGCATAGCAAGGGGCAAGTTCTGGGGGTCATACCCGGGATGCCCAGCTGAAGACGAGGAGGTCTCTGGCTCCAAAAAAAACCCCAGACAGTGTCCGTCGGAATGCCAAGTATGCAGAAATATGCAGACAAGGGATTAGGATTATGACGCTTCGCGGCATCTGTAATTACTGGCATTCCATCTGCATGAACAGATACAGAATTCGCTGCACGAACTCCCGATGTAATGTTCAAAGGATGCAGGTTCTGAGACTCATATGTGTATGGGCTTGTATATGTACGAAAGCTTAGTAGACCTCCGGGAGAAGTTTTGTCTTGGCCAGCTCTGCCAGCAGCGCCGAGAAGATCTTTGTCACAGTGTCCGTCCTCAGCGAAAGGTGATGGTAGAAGATGCTGTGACGCCACTGAAGCGGGCACGCGTGCAGGAGCCGCGAATGCGGCGCCAACTGCAACTTTTTTGCCTCGCTTGCCGGGCTCTTGCACGAAGGTGCTACGGCTCAAGGAATTCGCGTTGGAAACTTTACAATCCCCGTGAATGCAAGAGACCCGGCCTCTCCCATCTCTCTCTCTCTCTCTCTCTCTTGGGGCTTCCGTCAGCGAAGGCGTCGGGAGTCCTCGCCGGCATGGAAGGATTGACAGGCTTACAAAGCAACGGAGGGCTCGGGGCCAAGGTGAAGCTAGTCCAGCCTATAGAGTCTAGAGTGGCTCCTAGGGCTACTACGCGAGTTTCAAGCCACATGCCAGTCATCTGCAGCGGACGCTTGTGACGTGGAAAGAGCCAAATGCCAGAGTTAGCTCTGAAGGACCAGCAGCTGCACTGGGTTCACCAAGCAGACTGACGAGTTTCGCATCACGGGGTGTTGCCGAGAGGGAGTGAATGTGTCATGTTCGTGACCTGACGGTTCGGATTCTCCAGGGATAGCAAGCCTACACTGGCCTTCCATCCACGTGCGCAGATCTAGAATTCGCTGCAAGGAGCTTTTCGGCGGTCGTCAGGCTAAGAGTATTCAGGAACAATCGCGTTCAAACTATGTAGGCGTAATCGGCTTGGATGTGGGTTTGCAGTTTTCATTTTGCTGCTCTCCGTGTGCTGCACACCTCTTCAGCAGACTGCCAGAATAAGTTTTGCTCGGGCCAGCGCCGAGAAGTTTTTTTGTCACAGTGTCCGTCCTCAGCGAAAGGTGATCGTAGAAGATGCTGTGACGCCACTGAAGCGGGCACGCGTGCAGGAGCCGCGAATGCGGCGCCAACTGCAACTTTTTTGCCTCGCTTGCCGGGCTCTTGCACGAAGGGTGCTACGGCTCAAGGAATTCGCGTTGGAAACTTTACAATCCCCGTGAATGCAAGAGACCCGGCCCCTCCCATCTCTCTCTCTCTTGGGGCTTCCGTCAGCGAAGGCGTCGGGAGTCCTCGCCGGCATGGAAGGATTGACAGGCTTACAAAGCAACGGAGGGCTCGGGGCCAAGGTGAAGCTAGTCCAGTCTATAGAGTCTAGAGTGGCTCCTAGGGCTACTACGCGAGTTTCAAGCCACATGCCAGTCATCTGCAGCGGACGCTCGCGGCATAGAATCCCTACTACCCCTCAATTCCTAAAAGCCCCAAACCCTGCGCCTGCCGGCGATTCGACGATCCCACTTGGAGGTTCATGAGTAGTTATAGGTGGGGTTATAAATCCCCTAATTTATTATAGTTACCCTACTTATAACCCCACTTATAACTACCCATAAACCTCCAAGTCCAAGGCATGCAAAGCCTGGAGATCGGCCGCGGTAAGCGCAAGGTCCACTTCGCAGCGCCTTCTGAGCGGAAGGCCACCTGGGGTGCCCTGGCAAGCACGGGGTCGAGGGCTCCTTTAAAGGTTTTTTTTTAGGGCTTTTCCGTAAAGGCTTGCTTTTTTGGGGGGCTCTAGAAGGGAACCGGCTTTGCCTGCAAAGACATCGGAAACTCTAAACAGGCCTGTTCAACGCGTGCCCCGTAGCCCCTTTAAAGCCCTCAGGCGTAAGCATTACACCCTTCTGGCATGTCCCAGTTCGCAACATCATCGCAAGCCCTTTTTTCTGATGCACCCTGAAGGCCTCAAATCGTAACTCTGCATCCTGGATCCTGTAGCCCAAACCCTGAATCCACATGGTGCGGGTGTGATTTTAGTGCATCCAGCTAAACCCTAAACCCTAAACCCTACCAGCCATGCATGTTGCTTTCCTTCCTCCGTTCCGTCACGCCGTCCGTAGGAGACGAGTGGCCCGAGATCGAGTCGGCATCCAGACCTTCGAACCCCCAAAAGACTGGCCTAGCTATAGGCTCCTTAGTTCCTTTTTGGGATTACCTTCTAGGATTCTAAGTACAAACCACAAAAAGGAGCTACTTCGGAGCTTGTGGGTAGAATGTCCGAGGTGTGAGGGTCCAAAAATCGAAAAGCCTCATACCTGTACCCACAGTTCCTTCAATTCTCCCAAAATCGCAAAAAAAGCACCCAAAACAGAGGCCCAGACGCCCAAAACGGCGAACCCCCTTTGAGACCTCCCTGGGCTTCTTCCTTGTTGTGAGTGCTGAAACCCCCCAAAACCCTAGCGAGAGAGAGAGAGAGAGAGCGAGAGAGATTTTTATTCATGTGTTTATTTTAGTGATTGCCCTCAACAGAACCTACGATTTCATTTAAATCTTTTATTATGATTGCTGTTCTTTATATAATTATATGAAATGAATTTAATTAATAAACTAGTCAAACCATAGATTGCAGAGAGGGAAAAGCCCTCGCCTACGCATGTCTCCCGAGTTGCGAGTCTAAACTGCCTCGAATGGATTGTCCGAGTGTGAGCGCCGAAACCCTAAACCGTCAAACGCACGAAACCTCAAACCCTAAACCCTAAACCCTAAGCCCTAATCCCTAAACCCTAAACTCAGCGAGTGGAAAAGGGCCGTGGGAAAAAAAAGAACAGCCTACCCCCTGCACCTCAAACGCCCCAGGAAACCCACATTTGAAGCGGAACCCGGGGCCCGGCACCTACGAGCACGAGCCGGTAAAGGTGGACATTTGGCTTCCGTGGGTTCTTCTTTCGGGAGTGGGCCGCTTTTAGGCTTCAGGCATTACGGTGCAGGGTTGAGGGTTTACGTAGTAAATGAAAAGGCCTACCTTTTTAGGGTTCCTTAGTGTGGTTTCTATGTATAATTCCGTTTATTACAGAAGGTAGGTCGTTTCGGCTCCAGGTGGGGTTTGGGGTTCAGGGTCCAGGCCTCTCTGGTGGGTCTTCTCGTAGAGGCCATGGATCGGTTCTCGGGCTCACCTCCGGGTTCAGGGTGTTAAGGGGTTTAGGGGTTTAGGGTTTAGGGCCCTTTCTGGTGAAGCATGTACTCATCGGTGCCCCAGACATGTTCACCTAAGCACTCGGTGGATGAAGGAAGTTT